TCGGCGAACGGGACGCTCCTGATACTAAGGTTTGGAGAGTAGGAGTCGCCAAATTCGAAAAGCTAGGGGGGGGAGGGCTCTACCGAAACAAAATGTTGGAGGAGGCTGATTTCTTGAAGATAAAGGATCAGTGCTGCACTAAGGTAAAAAAAACAAACTGAAGACGGCATACAAGCAAGAAGGCCAAGGACAACAATCAGAAGAGCGGGAGGAACGGTTATTCAAACTGCAGTCATGGCCGATTAATTGGATATTCACCGGACAGGATTTTTACAAAACCGGTTATCAAAAGTCTGGTATGAACGCTAAGGGTTTTAGCCGGGTTTTTGAAAAACCGGTTGAAACCGCTAAATATAAGTCTGGTATGAACAGGGTCTAACAGCTTCCTGATCTGACCCTCTGTTGATAAAGACACTGATCAGGATCTGTACCCTTTATATATGTACATACTTCATAGCCACAAGAGGTCTGAGCCTTAGGGTTTTGTTATAAATACACATGTGGGTAACAAACGCATCATTATTGATATTATCTACCATTATTTGTATTCTAAACAGGGCAGTTTAAACAAGAGAAATGTCAAATCACATTGATGTTTCAGAACTGTACAATGTATTTGCAACGTGCTTGCATGTAATTATCATCTCTTACTTACTTACACATGCAAGGTTTTGCATTAAAAACTCCAGGCCCTCAGGCCTCATCAACACAGATGCCTGTCAGCATGTGTTAATCTTATCACACTATAAGTGCCACAGACTCGCCTATCATTATGAACCATAAAAGGGTTGCTAACAGGTGGAACAGTTCTCAGAGTGGGAGGAACCATATTTGGACTCATCTGTTCAAGGGCTTGAAGTACTATGTACTTCCTTTTTTTCTTTCCTTAGTTCTGTCCATGAACTTTATTTACTATTTAGGCCACACCAATTTAATTTGTTGGTGTACAGATATTCAGGTTTTTCCGAAAGATGAATCGACAGAGGAAAAAAAAACTGGTCCAGGCATCCTATATGATAGCTCCAAATTTAAACAATAAATTTTTAAGTTTAATCAATCCGCTGCATTGATAGGCGGAAAAACTAAAATAACTAGGACTTTTTTTAACTGTTAGGCCAAAATGCATTTACATTATTACTATGAGCATTTTTCATACAGAACCTGAGTTGATTCAGAATCTGATTTTTTTTGAAATCTGAAAAAAAAATGAATCAGACAAATGTGAGATAAGTGAAAGAATTTTGTGTCACCTTTTCTATAAATATTTTAACTCTTGCCATTTTCTATTTTTCTGAACATTAAATTTTCTCCTGTAGATTATAGGTTATAGATGAGGTGATTTTGAGCCCTGTTGTGTGACCCTTTGTTTGAGGTCTCCAGGGTTAAGAGGCTGTGAACTGTGAAGTGTATTTAGGACAACAGTTTGCTGCATTAAGACAGTAAAGTTTGCTCATTTTTGCAGGGTTAGTGTAGATAATGGCAATATTAGCAATATTAATACAAATGTACATGTTTGTCTGTAATATTTTCTAGAAGAAACAGACATGTGAATGTTTAGAAAACATCAGTCCTGTAATCCATATCTGTTTTCTTTTCCTGTTTGGTTGACATTTCTGCCATGAAAAGTGACCTCTAGGGCAATTTGAATTCTCAATGACTGAAAAGTGACCTGCAGGGCAATGTGAATTGCTTATGATTAAAAAACAAGCAAACAAACAAACATAAAAAAACAGATAGCATGTTCTCTGTATAGCGATAAGGTGTCCAGCATGATATTTGTTTATTAATGAAATACTGTATGCTGGATACTTCTGATTAAAGTCAAGTAAACATGAAATACTATACCTGCTGGTAATGGAGGTATTTGTCCGACAAAATATAATTATTGATATGAATAACTTAGATAGAGGATAAAAGATTGAAGTCCTACCAAATCCACAGTCATAGACTTTGAATTGACTATATAGCTGTTAAAGTATATACACTGTATATTTAGTAATGGGGTTAACGTGATGTTGGAAATAGGATTAACCTTCACACTGCTGTAACCTAGGTTACTCACTCAGGCTGTAATAGTTTTAGCATAACTCAGCAGGAAGGAGGTTAAGGCAGTTTAAGTTCATTGTCGACAGGGATTTGTTATTTCAGTCTGCACTCCTAGATGGGTGGTGCCAGTCTTGAAGGCTTGCCAAGTTTAATGTGTCTTTGTCGGCTCTGAGTTACCCAGGAAACAGTTGTGTCTACTGCAAGTCTGGATAACATCTACCTGCTACTTCATTGTACTGTACAGAGTACAGATCTCAAACATCTTCCCATCTACATACATGCAAATCGCATTCAAAAGTCCTACAATGTGGATTGAAAGCTGTGCATTTCTCGACAAAAGCGCTACAAACATGAGTGTCTTGCTAACCCGATTAAATCATTCACTGACTCTCAGATATCTATAAAGATAGTCCTATAGCCTTTCAGGCCGTAGGGGCAGTGGGTTGTCGATCCACTGTGTTTAGGGCACGGTATTGAAAGATAGGACCCATCCTTCCACTGCCTTCAAAAATGACCTCCCCAACCAAAGTCAAGTACCCATTTTACCTGGGTAGAGTGAGGAAAGTCATGAAGAGTACCTTTCCCTGGAGGACAGCCTTAATTCACATTGACATGTTGAATTTCTTGTTTGTACAGTAACTGTTATTGATACATGTCAATGATGCATAATCCCTGCTGTCCCCTGCAGTAGTGTGGACCGTGTGGAGCTCCGTCGGCAGGCCCAGCTGCAGCGCGCTGGCATGAAGGTCTCCACCGAACCCCCCGCTGTGTCCAAGCCACTCTTTGACGCACCAGTCAAGGTATGTACAGTATTCCTCGTCTTTCATCCCCTTCTCTCTTTCTCCCTCTCTCTCTCTCCCTCTTTCTATTTCTCTCTATTTTTTGCGAGATTTTCTGAACCAGAGAGTTGTTACCGTGGTAGTTGGTTCCGTGCTGTAGACAGCCTGTAGTGTTGGGTTACATTTTGTAGCAAGTTGCAGTAAGGGAGTTGGAGGGGCTGGTCACCATGTGTATGAATGGATTTGTGGAAGAGTAAAACAGTGCAGTATAGTTGGGCTAGAACATGTGAAGGAAAATATTATGTATTACCAGGTATATTGCTTTCCAAATGTTACCTTTCTAGTTTCTTCGATACACACCATAGTGTGTGGTCTTAAAGTTTGTCTCAAAGAAAGTTGCTTATCTTACCTGCTTGTGCTTCTGGCCATGTAGAAGAAGAATTTATTGTGTAGGTAATGGCATCCGAGAAGTGACATGTTTTTCTCGACATTCCTTCCAGATCGAGCCCCCGCCTGATGACCACGTGTACCGTAAGACTCAGGAGACTCTGGGGCAGTTCAGTCTGATCCGACACTCCATGCTCAGCAGTCATAACCAGTATCTCCTGGGGATCCCCAAGGGTCCGCAGACTCCTGTCCTCAACAAGACGGCCGACAGTGTCTGGGCGTCCAAGTTCCCGGCGAATGGCCAGCTCCCCCCGGCGCAGAAAAGCGCGGGCAGCCACAGGCCCAAGCAGTCCGGCCGGAGCTCGAGTAGCGAGCGCAGCCGGGGGCGTGGCTCCAAGTCGCCCGCGGACAGACGGGGAAGCGAGGGGCGGTCGTCAGCCAATCACAAGTCTTCTTCTTCTTCCCACGGGCAGAAAAATGCCGACAAGTCTGAAGAAAGGAAGAGGCAGGAGGAACCACGGAGCAAGGAGTCGTCAGAAGGCTCCCGGCCCGGGAGAACCTCCGAGACGGGCCACGAGAGACGCAAGTCCAGCAGTAAGAGACCCTCGGTGAGCCCGCACCGCTCGAAGGACGGGCAGGGCGCCACGGGTCACTCACACAGTAGCAAGGCTGCGGAGCCGCATTCCAAACCCGCGCATTCCAGACCGGAGAAGTCTCCTCCGGTTCAGCCCGACTCTTCCTCCGTCTCCGTCAAGATGGAAGCCTCGTCGACAAAGGACGACGCGTTCCAGATGCCGGCGCCGCTGTCAACCGCGCCTGGCAGTCATCGGCCCAGTCACAGCGGCGGGAAGGGGGCGGACAGGGCAGAGGAACGTCCCAACGGTCTCCTGGCCGGGTCGAGCAGTGGAGGGAAGAAGGAGGGCGGGGAGAGGGAACTGTCCAGGGAAGACGTGAAGAGGAAGCTCAGACTCACCATGCCCGACACCTCCGAGGTAAGAAGGTCTTATTTACAGTCTTGTAAATCAATCAATCATTTCGTAGCAATCTTGGTGATTGTCCTTCAGTATGACAGATGAAGACCACTTCTGTCATTGTTCGCATGTGGCTGTAGAGTCCTATTTTGGAACGAAATCACCACAGTCATGGTGCAGGTAGGAGAACAGACCAGTGTTTGACAGAAGATTGGTATCTCTTACAATTCTGGCTCGTCTTTTCTGCTGCTTTTGAGCAGCAGTTTTGAGAGCTTCCTCACAGGTAGTGGCCCCCTCTCAGACTGTGGGTCACAACTGTGGTCGGTCAATTAAGTATCTTCCACGAGTTTTAATGTTGAAAGCACCATTTTGTAAATCAAGCAATCAATAAGTCCATCAATTTGGAGGTAAAAATGAATGTCCTACACTCTCGTCAATCAATCAATCTTTGCTTATATCAAGTCTTATGGTACTAAAATGATATTTACTTTAAGTAAGATTCATTTCAAACAACAAGTATGCAGAGACAAGAGATAATAAAAATATAATGTACAGAATATAAGCATTAATACAAAGTCTGCTTTTCTTATGATAAAAATACTAGACTTAGTATAGCATTTGACTACTGTACTCTAAATGCTGATGCCACATTCTAACTTGTTGGGTGTAAGTCCTTTTTTCTAAAACAGTGGAAGACAAAACCCCCACTTTTTCTGTAATTATTATGTACCTGATTTGTATGTACCTATACAAATTCAAATACGTCTAGTATCCAAGTATACTCAGGTTTAGAATTAATGGCGGAAGTCAAACGCATTTCCTGGTTGGCGTCATTTTCAGTCTGGCACCGATGTTGACATTAGCTATCGCCCGTTGGCAGTAATGTATGTACTGATCACTCCACATACTGGAGATGCATAGTACAGTAGGAATTGGGATATACCTTACTGATACATAGATTTTTCTGTTTGAAAGATTGTTGAATATAATTATCTTGAAGTATGCCAGGAGAAAAATACACAAATATCTTCATAATCTGGATGGAGATTGAGAAAAAATTGTGCATTCTTTTTAAATCAAATCTCTTCTAAGTTTTCTCTAAAAAAGTAGTGAATTACAATTTGTTGCTGTGGTTTCGTAATATTTTTTTTTTATCATACACTTCTGCAATCCACCCCTTTCTGGTTTTCACTGGAATTCACCAGATCAAGTCAGTTTAGCCCAGATTTTTACCTCCGGGGGAGGAGACATCCTTCCGCAGAAGGGTTTTGTGAGAGATTTAGATTTTCATGTTCGCAGCTGTTTCTCACGTTTGGGTGGATGGATTTTTTTTGGACTCGGGACTGTTTTGCTATTGGGCTATAGATGATGCACGTTCTTTTGTTTTTATTGTATATGTGTTTTCGGGCGTGAAAATTGTGCCTTTTGGTGGCCCCAGAACACCCCTTTGAGCCTGAAAATGGTCGCGACCGTTGACCTTTGGCGTGTTTAAGATATTGTCGGGCTGGTCCACGTATATGACCCCTCGCAAAGAAGGGTGTCCGGTCTCGATAAATTCTTTGTTTAAACCCCTAGTTCTGCGGTGCGCAACAATTGTTGTTGTGCACATGCATCTTCTCTAACACATAAAATTCAACACCATCAACTATACATAACAAATTACATATGAAAATATACAATAAAAAGCCCGGAGGTATAAAATCTCAGATTTTACTTGTTTCTCATCTAAATTGGGTGATGTAGTTTTTGTATGGTAGCCAAGCAGGCTTGAAATCCATCCAATTATTTTATAAATAGAAAGGGCACAAAGCTGCATAACACTGTGTATATCCTACAGCTCTGGCTGCACGAATGGAGAATAATTTGTGTATTATTCTTTATCTGCTGCAGTTCAAGGTCTTTGTGATGGGGATATGATTATAGACAAAAGGCTATGTAGTTTCAGTACCGGCTGCAAGGTGGCGTCAGTGTCACTTCTGGAGCAAAACCTGAACGAGTGCCAAATGGGTCAGATGGAATTTTCCACTCTCCCTCCCAGATTCTTATCGTGACCAAACCGACGACTGATTCAACATAACATCCATGTCGTGACAGCTTAGTGATGGTGTATTTCTGATCCACTTCTATTTCCGTCCTATGGTTTTTAACCACTTCCTATCCATGAAAAAAATGCATAACGCAAAATTGATCTCCAGACACGATAGAATGTTAGAAACGATTGTGCTGGGAAGTACCTTGCGGCTACGCTATTCTTCTTATAAAGAATTCATGTCTTGTACATTATATCTCCTAGGTTGATTAGTTGTCTGAGCTGTAGTGCTATATGGTAGGGACTGCGTTGTCATTAATATTAGATGATATCAGTCTCATCTGTTGCCTGAATCATTTATAAGGCATTCCACGCATCGCACTACATAAAGGCTGGCTCAGAATATCAAACAAGCAGAAAACAATCAGATACTGATCTGCAATCGTGTAGATAGGAAGTACATACATCTCTACAGCTTAGGCCATACAAATTTATTTTAATGTTTCACTCATACATTTCACAATAAAGAATAAAATTCAGCAAGAGGTCAGGATATACAAAGTAGGGCTTGTAGAAAGCTGTTTAATCTTTATATTTTGCAGAAGGAAAATATGTTGTTTTTGCTGCATTTCCTCTTCTGCAAACACAAAATGTCAATGACCCTGTCTAGATGCCATGGTAACTGGCGCTGTAGCAGACACCCTGTGGCGTTGGATTACATTATATGATATATAGCAAGTCGCAGGACAGTTGGAGAGGCTGGTCATAGGTTAAAGAATAATGATTATAAACAGATCTCTTGTTTGTTAGACTGGGCCATCATGTAAAGGCAGGGCTTGAAATTCATTTTTGGGAATAGGTGCTTGAAAACAAAAGATAATGCCTCTCTTAGGAGCAGTAAGCAGGAAACTTAAAATTTACATCTAACTATAAAACTGTGTGTACCAAGTTATAGACTTTCTCTCAAGCTCATGATATTTTACAATTAAAAAACAGTAGCTGAAACTGTGAATCCAAAAGGTACAAAAACTACTAAAATTCACAACTTTTTTAGTTCACCGTCAAATTCTTTTTGGTTACATTTTTTTAGTGTGCAAGAAAAGCAAACAAGAGTGCTTGATTCATCTGGCCTTACGGATTTCATGTTATTGAATGACAGCCTTCCTGTTTTGATCACATTCATCATTATACAGTGTTCCCAAAATAGCTAGAATCTCGTTTGTAGATGAAAGGGTTTTGTTGCATGTTTCAGAGGTGTAGGAGAAAGAGACCTTGGGTTGTCTTCAAAGAAATTATTCTGTTCTTAGCAGGATGTTAGTTAACACAGCTGGTAATGTTACTCTCTGAATAGAACATTGCTTAGCGAGTGGCGCTACACGTGTGAATATTATAATGTATGATTTCAGAAGTGTGAGAGGGAGACATTGGCTTGTCATGTATAAGATGAAAGAAATCACTTTATGTTCATGTTAGCACAATTTGCAGCCCGAAAAAAATGGACATTTTGGCGGAACTATATGTACGGCAAAAAGAAATTTGGCAAATTATTTGTTCGAGGTAATGATGAGTTTGCGGTACAGAAGTGAGTGCGTAAGTATTCTGTTTTTGACAGGACAGTTAACACAGCTGGTAACAATGCTCTCTGAATAGAACATTGCTTAGCGAGTGGCGCTACACGTGTGTGTACATGTATTATAATGTATGATTTAAGAGGTGCCAGAGGGACATGTTGAAGATGTTAGTTGTCTTCAAACTTCAAAGAAATTATTCCATTCTTGGCAGGACTGTCAACACAGCTGGTATCGTTGCTCTCTGAATAGAACATTGCTTAGCGAGTGGCGCTACACGTGTGTGTATTATAATGTATGATGTCAGAGGTGTGAGAAGGAGGCCTTGGCTTGTCATGTGGGAGATGTCTTGAAAGAAAGTACCATCAGCTAGTAACAATACTACTTGAATAGCTTAGTGTGTGGCACTACACGTGTAAAATATATATATACTCTAGAGAGACTGCATGCCAAAAATAGCGCCCATTTCAGTCCTAGGCTACATGACGCATATAGAAATGTTCTAATTCTGTACTTGTCATCAAGATAGCTGTGGATTTGATTTGATTTATCCGGGCCTGTATAAAATTACATAAATGACTGCCTAAATAGCTATTTGAGTTATTTCAAAGGGCTAGGATTGCATTGAAGTTGCTGTGTTGTTTGTAATTTTAAGAGACTTACTTGCTTTTATATTTTCACCTACAGTAGTTACCGGTATGCCCCTGGCTCAGTTAAATCGTTTCATCTTTGCACCTGTATATTGTTTCTTTTGTCTGGGTTGTTTGCATTGGAAAATCTTATCTTCGAAGTTCATCTGCATTGGTAGAAGTCATAATGATGCAAGTTTGAACTATAATTTCACAAGAAACTGGACTTGCCCAGAGGGCTGCTACAAATCTCTCATTACTTAAGGTGTGATACAATGTCAATAGCTAGGAGTAGTGTTTTCATACCAGTAGTATTTTGCACTGCACCTCCTAGCTGTTTACCTGTGTAACTGCAGTGAATGTTTGTCTTCCACGCAGCACAATCTAGTTCTGAGATGCATTAATGGACAGGTAATGGCTTTCGGCTTTTTAGATCTTATCAGAAAACATGTTGTGTTAGAAACCAAGGACACAGGGCTGAGTACGGATGATGAGGAGAATCATGACATGGATTATTTTGGTGCCTTCTTACCATTTTGGTTCACATCGGGCTCAGCCTCTGTCATGATATGTTTACAATTACTGTAATTATTGTCAACTTTTGGCTTTGCTTTATTGAATCCCTTTGCTCAGGCTGTGGAGAAGGCTCCATGCACCTTTGAGAAAGGAGATATCCTGCCATCGAAGGTATTGTTTTCGGTCATGTTTCAGCCATAACTCAAGGCTGTGGGACTAGTAGTTCACACCATACGACTTTCAGGAGGGTTTTTTTTTACATGTAGTTCTGTATTTTTA